AATCTTTAAAAAAAAGTCTTAAAAAAAAAAAGGAGCAAGATCCTCCCTTGTCTGGGGGGCTTGTTCCAATGCCCCCAGATGTTCTTCTTTGGACCCTGACAGTCTCCAGCAGCTGATATTATACATCAGGGAGGCTGAGTGCTCTAGAGGGAGGTGCACAGAGCTGAGAGAAACTGTCCAGGAACTCCAGAATAACAGAAAAGCCCCCTTGCGCCTTGTCGCCAATCTGGCCTTGAAGCCCTAGTTCCTAGCAGGAACGGGGAGGGGGGGCGAGGAGGAAGTGGAGAATTGTTTGGCATCTGGGTTCCCTTTCACTTCTCTGTTATATTAAGCTTCTGCATGACTAACCTTCTCCCACAGTGTTTCCCAAGATGGTATGCCATGGAACATCGATCCTGGCCAATAATCAGCATCGTGGGAGCGGAAGTGCCCAGTGCTCGAGTATGGGAAATGTCAGTGTAAACAGGCTTCTTTATTATAGAATTTCCAAAGTGTGAAAGAGGCAACCTGCGCTCGAGTCTCTACCCACAACACACCATATATAGTATGGGGCATTTCTAAAGTCATTCGGAGACCCTGCATGAGCAACTTCTCGAACAGCGCTCTGCACAGAGTCAGTTTGAGAACGTTGGCTCTGGCGTGGAACACGGCTCGGGAGACCTGGGAGTTTCACCCTTGGCTCAGCAGCCTGGGGCAAGCACCTCTATCCTTCTAACACTCTGTCTCTTCATCGTCAAAGGTGGGGGGCGAGTGATCCTACCTCTCAGAGCTGCTGTGCAGACGCCTTTTGGCCAGGTAGCAGGAACTCCACTGGTGCCACAGCCCAGGGTAGAGACGGGGCAGAATCTGAGAAGCGGAGCAGGTGCGTGCCCTCGAAAACCAGTGGTCCCCCTCCCAGGCAGCGATGCCAAACTCCTGCTCAGATGCACAAAGAAACTGCAAGAATCCTGACGGCGGCAGTTTGTGTCACCAGATGCTGAACTGACATTTCAGTCCAGGAGCCAAGATCCAATGGGCGTGACCGTCCAGAGGTGCTGCTGGACCAGGGGCAGAATTTACCAAGGACGATCCCAAGAGACCTCTTAGCCTCCCTCATCCATGGTATGGGTATAAAAAAGTGTCAGGAAGTAGAATTTTAAAAAAGTATTTGTAAGGGGGATTTCTTTGGGGCCAAGTTGAGCTGTTGATTCCAGCCCCCTTTCTCCCAAGAGGGAGGGGTGGGGTTGCTCCTCTCTCACCCCAAGCCTCTGGAGAGCTCGGCGTGTGTCCCCTGCGATTGGTGGGTTGATGTTTGGCTGAAAATCTAAAGGCAGGGGGTGGTTCTCAGCCACATGTCCAGAGAAGGCTGTGTGGGGGAGGAAGGAGCCTCCCTCCACTGGTGGGGGGGGCGGGGCACAGAGGTTTCATCTGAACGCGGTAGAAAGCCTGGAGTGTGTGTGGGGGGGTCATCTGGGAGCCTGTCCACAGGGCCTCCTGGAGGGCGGGGGGACTCCTACCGAAATATCACTGGGGATCGACCCTGCTGCGCTCAGGGGCTGCCGGGGCGGGCAGAACCTCATAGAACATCCTTATTCAGTAGAAGGGGACTGAAGGTGAGACCATCTGCAATGTTGGGGCTCCCCAAGAACCTCCCGAAAGCCCCCTCAGGAGGGTCGCTTGAAACACCTGCCCCATCCAGTGAGTGGAAGTCCGTCGGAGTCACAGAAGCATTTTCCTTGCTCTGGCCTCACTCTCCCAGCTTACAGAGGTCAGAACCCGGTTGGTTATTGGAGCGCGAGCAAGAGAAGCCGGCTCTGTTTTCTGCCACAAGGTGGCGCACCTGCAGCCAGCGGAGCCCCGGGTGGGGGCGGAGGGGGGGAGGTTAGGTTTAAAGCTAGTGTTGAGGCTCACCTTCTGAGTCTTCATCTCACAGGTGCTACGACAGCTGCTTTGCTATAAGTCCAAATGACCAAATTTGTTGCTAACTCATCCACATTCTGAGCTCAGGCAAAATCTGTGTTCACGAGCCCCCAACCTCACCCCTCCCTTAGGCTTCCTGAGGGCAGGGTGCTCTTGTAACCAAAGATAGCAGGAAAGTATGTATGCCACCCGGCAGCCCTCCCAGGTTCCGCCCCTCGGGGTGGTAGGAGTTTGTGCCCCATTCTTACTGAGACCCCCGCACGGGAGTGGAGGAGTCGAACTGGAACAGCTGGGACCCTCTGGGAGGGGCTGGAGCTCCTGCTCCCTACCTCTGGTCTCCATCTCACCTGGCAGCCAAGGTGGGAAGGATCCAGGCTGGGTGATCCAGAAGGGGGGCTTCCCCAGTGGGCCAGAGGCAGGGTGTGGGGAGGGGCAGCGTGCAAAGGGGCAGTGAGCTGGGGGTCAGAGTGGGTTCTGGAGAAGGGTCCTGCGCTCAACTGCACACGTGTGCTGAGCCTCCTGAGCTAGGCTTCCAGGTGGACTGTGCATCCCGTGCTTTGCATGGTTGTGTGGCATCCTCATGTGGGGCTTGGCATGGAGACATGGCTCAGACCATAAGGAATCACTGTTCAGCTGGTCAGCTGCGATTTTGTTATGGTGGTTACATGAAGTAAACTGTTGTCGTGGGAGCGGCAGACTGAGGCATTTACAGGTGAATGACATGATGACTTGGACTTGCTTTGAAAACACTCCAGTCCTCCCTGTCCTCCAAATTAGGGGAGACAGAGGAAACAAGATTCCCCGAATGTCCATAAGTTTTGAAGCTTGGTAAGAGGCTCTACTTTTGTATATGTTCGAAATCTCCCATAAAGTTAAAAAAAAAAAAAAGCAAAACCATAGTGAATCAGTTTCTATCTCACAGTAAGTACATGTTTCTTGTTCGCTTTCACAAACAGCTGCCTCCCCAGTTGTGCCGCTAGATGGCCCTCCCTTGAGGAGGCCGGAGGGGCTCAAACGTTGTTTCTTCTATGTGCTCTTCTAGAAGCCTCAGAAATCACATGATGGTAGTCTGTTCCCAGATCACAGAAAAAATGATTAATGGGTGCAATGCGTTAACTTTTGGGCAGTGGAAGTAGTCACTCAAAAAAATTGGGGGGTTCGGGGCGCCTGAATGGCTCCGTTGGTTGAGCATCTGACTCTTGATTTCAGCTCAGGTCATGATCTCAGGGTCGTGGGCTCGAGCCCCGAGTCAGGCTCCGCACTGGGTGTGGAGTCTGCTTGAGATTCTCTCTCTCCCTCTCCTTCTACACCTCCCCCCCACTGCATTCTCTCTAGAAAAAAAAAAAAGTTGGGGGGTGGGGAAGGCTCTTGAGTGAACCCTGTCCTTGCCGAGCTGGTGTTCCTCTGGCTGCCCTGGGTTTCTGAGTGCCCCCGGCTGGGGCGGAGGCCGTCTCTTCCCCGGCTGGACCAGCTCCCCGCAATCTCGGCCACAACCCGGTGCCAGAATTGGTGCTCTTCTGTGGAGAGCCCTGCAGTGGCACCTGCTGCTGGGTTTTTGTTCTGAGCCTGCTAGCCAAATGCCTACTTTTGCACTTGCACTTGGATGTCACGGAGGCCCCTCCCCTCACTTCATCCTGTCCCAGGCATCAGCCACCTTCAAACTTGCAGTGCTCTGCATCTTGGCCAACGGCACGGCCATCGGACCAGAGAGCGGTCAGGGGCCCGAGCCTCACCCACTGCCCGCAGGCGATCCCTCACCTGCTGGCGTGCCCCCTCTAAACCTCCCTCGGACCATCCCTTTGCTTCTCCGCATCCACCGCTTGCAGCCTGGTCTACACTGTCAGCGCCTCACGGAGATTAATGCAACGGCCCCTCAGCTGTCACTCTTCACAGCCCAGCTAAGCTGACAGGGCCTCGGGCCACTGGGAGGAAGAGGCCTGGCGGCTGCCCCTGCTTCCAATCCTCTTGTCCCAGCAGAGTCTTGGATCTTGGAAGATCGTGAGCTCAGAGTCGTGAGATTGAGCCCCACGACGGGCTCTGTGCTGGGTGTGGAGCCTGCTTGAGAGTCTCTCTCTCCCGTTCCCTCTGCCATCTCCCCCCTCAAACAAACAAATAAAAATAAAAAATAGACAAATATGAAGATAACAGTAATAGTTTATATAAACATCCTTTTTCCATTACGAGCCTGGAAAAGAGTGGGATTATATAGGAATAAAAGTAGATCTTATAAGATCAATAATGGGTCCCTTGCCCCTTCCTTGAGCTGGTGATTCCCTTAATTATTAATGTAAAAATAATTGTTTTTGCCAGTATTTAACCAAGTAAAATGACTTAGGTATGGTAATTAAACTGAAAATTAATTTTAAGTTTTTAATTTTTTTTTTTAGAATCTCTACCCACAATATGGAGTTCAAACTTACAGCCCTGAGATCAAGGGCTGCATGCTCCTCCGAGTGAGGCAGCCAGGCACCCCTCAGCTGAATTTTCTTTTTTTAAGATTTATTTATTTTAGAGAGAGAGAGAGAGTGAGCAGGAGAGGCAGAGGGAGAGGGAGAGAGAATCCCAAACAGACCCTGCACTGAGCACATGCGGAGCCCAACGTGGGGCACGATCCCATGACCCCAAGACCATGACCCAAGCTGAAGCCAGGAGCCGGACGCCCATCTGACTACACCACCCAGGCACCCTAAGCTGAAGTCTTATAGGCTTCGAATCTGACGAATCCTGACACACCATGCAAGCTAGAGTTCCATTTGCAAATGACCCAGGTGAAAACAAAAAATATGTCTATGAAACAGAATATAGTGTGAATCATATCTAATTTTAAATATTTTAATTTATATATTTTCATGATTATAGGTCAATAAGAAATCCTTTTCAGATTTAATTTCATTATAGAATATATTTGATAAGGATACATACAAACAGATTCATCTTTGATACACGTGCCTACTGGTGTCCCACAACTTGCTCAGCAGGCTGGCGATGGAATACACATGCTTCCAAAGGTTGTGCTTAATCGGCCACTCTGAACAACCAGCGCCATGGAGTTCACATAATTCCATTCATTTACTTGCCTAGAACAAGTAAAAATCTTAGTGTTTGTTTTTAAGTCTGTTTATTACTCTTCTATTTTAAAATCTGAGATGCATTCCCCAATGTAAACAATAAATTTCAATCTGTCACACAATCAAAATGGATAAGGCCTTCTTGACAAATGTATGCCACCTCCGTTTTACTCATCAGAACGCAATCTTATTTTGTGGTGTAGTGAGCCATCCATGCACAAAAGACAGGAAAAGAAGCTGCCCTTAGTACCCGGTGGAGCCTCCCAGACTTCTCCCCGCCACAGGTTTATTGTACACTTAAGAGATACCATTTCAACTTGGTCTACTTGGTCTTAAAATACAAATATACAATGTCCATAAGCATAAAATAGTAAAGCCTAGCCTTACGTCTTTATGATGAATTTCTACAATCCTATACAATACCAGATCATGCCAACTCATATACAGAAGAAGGTGGCTAGATGTCTCCACCACTCTTCCGGGCACGTGAGCGCGGGACAGAAGGGAGTGAAGCGGCTGCCTGCGCTGGGTTAGGCAGACAGTATCACTGAAACTCCACGGTGCCTGCGTACCCTGCTGAAATGTTTAAATTAATCTGGAGTACAGTCTGCTTAACACAAGAAGAATACAACCCCTTTCTTGTCAGCCTCCCTCCAGGAGGACTGAATGAACCCTTAGAGAATGAAACCAAATAAAGTCACATTTGCATTTCCTGATTCACCTGTGCAAATCAGTCCTCCACGCTCTTCTCCATCGACTTATCCTTTTAGGACCAATTAATCAATAGCGATCACAATTCAGTACCTCATTATCATCATAAATATTTGACTTAGCGAGCTAGATGGGGAAATAGTAAAGCCTATGTACAATATTTTAAAAGGCATTCTGTGACCATTTTTGAAGGGTTCGTAGAAAAGTTACGAAGGATATACCAGTCACTTCTGTTGATGTCACCATAATGTAAACCCTGGCATATTTTTTTTAATATGAAATGTGCACTGTTTTATATACTGTACAACAAAGGAGAACCGTGAACCACTGCTCCGGTGTGACGCTCACTGATTCGCTAAGCTAAGGTAACTGGTAGAGGGAGTGGTTTTCCTGAGGTTTGTCAGAACTTCTCAAACAGAACAGAAATCACAGTGGTGGAGCCTAGCACGAGTCTGTGCCTGCCCCTGTTCTGCTCCCCACGCTTCCTGCTGGGACTAAATGACCCGCCACTGCATGATGCTCGTGTCCTTGCCGCCCGTGGAGATGAGGTGGCTATCGCCACAGAGGAAATCGACGTTGGTGACGTGGCTGCTGTGCCCACTGTATACGTGGCTCGGAGCCTGGGGAAGAAGGACAGAGAAAGAAAGAGCTTAAGGCGGAGCGCGCTACGTGGAGTCAAAAGTGCTGGAATTCTAGCGCTCGTTCTTCCCTCACTCAGCAGCTCTCACCTGCGCACCTGCTTTGTGCACAGGCACAGGAGGGGCGTTCAAACAAACGACACAGAGGCCCCCCCCCGTACCCCGAGAATCTGGCCTGGTTGGGGGGGGCAGACACGGGCAGGGCGCTGCCCCGGGCTGGGATACTTTCAGTGCCAGAGCGCTATTCCAGACGTGGGGCCACCCAAAGGAGGGATCTACCAGGTGCCACGGGTTGAGGGGGAAGGCCGAAGGACTTCAGGTCTGGGAAGGACGGGGAAGGGTGTTCTAGGCACTGGTGCTGGCTCAGCTCAGCAGGTGGGGGAAGAGGCGTGAGGCCCACGAAGGAAGCCACGGAGGTAGACAAGCCAGCTCAAAGGGGTCTGTGGATGGGGGTGCTCCCTGGAGAGCAGCGCGGAGGCCGGAAGGGCTCCAGGGCAGCGGGACGGCGGGGTCAAGTCCCCAGGCGTGACTGGCCGGTTCATGCACACAGCCTACCTAGTCAGTCACCAGACCGCCAGGGGAGGCCAGGACGCATGCGCCCCGAGGACAGGGTCCGTGAGGAAGACGTACCCTGAACTGTGAGCAAGGGTACGAGAACAGGTGCACTTTGCCGAAGTCGTCGCCGGTGGACAGCAGCTTTCTCTCATGGGCCCGACACACGGCATTGATGTCGGTTCCGTCCGAGCCTTCCGGCCACACTCCTAAAATGAAGACCACAGACAGAGCCCTGAAACCCCAGAGACACTAGGCCACGCTGCACAGGGACCGCCACTGAGCTGCCATGGAGATCAGATCGCCCGCAGTCCCTGGCTTTCGAAGCCGGGGCCCAAAGAGCTCCCAGCCTGCCTGCGATCGTCTCCGCCGGGGCAATTCCCAGATCACCCGTCCCGCCCGAGGGGAGAGCTCCGGCAGGCTCTCTGGGCTCCCACAACTTGCGGGGGCCCCTTCCTTCTTGACTCTGCAACAGAGAGAGTGCCAGAAACCGTGGCTTTGGACACAGTGCCTTTCCTTCATTCCCCCAAAGCATCTGAGGGGAAGCTGACTAGTCCCCAGCCTACAGTTTCCTAACTTTTTGGTTTTTCTGGGGTAACTCTATATGTGAGTCTCTCCAAAGGACTGTTTAACCCTGTGTGTGCCTTTCAGGGGGTTTTGGCTTGTTTTTTTTTTAAGATTTTATTTATTTATGAGAGAGAGAGAGAGAGTAGCGGGGAGATGAGCAGAGGGAGAGGGACAAGCAGACTCTGCACTGAGCGTGGAGCCTGACCTGGGGCTGGATCCCACGACCCTGAGATCACACCTTGAGCCAAAATCAAGAGTCAGATGCTCAGCGGAATTAGCCACCCAGACGCCCCTCAGGTGTTTCTTGGTATCGGCCCTTTGTGGCTGCTGCTTGCCTGGTCTATCCGGCAGCTGTGGTGTCTGCCTGCCATGGATCTGGAGTCTGGTTGGGTGGGCAGTGTCTCCTGATCATTGCTTTGGGAAACCTTTTGGTCCCAATAACTTTTGATCTGAGACAGCTGAATGTACATCAGTTTCTCAACAGGCAGATCTAGAGTGAACCCAGGAGTTCCTAGCATTTATACCAGAAAATGATGAATGCCAGCTCTAAAGAGATTTGGGAAATTTTGACCACCTTATTGACTTATGGTCTTACATAAAGAGATCAGAGGTACTGTCTTTTCTTTTTTATTCTACTAAACTGTGGTAATTTATTTTACACCATTTATAAATATATTCCAACCTCAACTTTAAAGGAAGTGAAAAATTTAGTTAAAGAACCAAAAAAATATAATAACTCTAACAAATGATAAAGAAATAGATTGAGTGCCATCTGGCCCATCTCTCTAAGAAGTTTGGCACATCCTCATAGGAGAAGAGTCTAGAGCATTATCTCAGGACTTATTTCATACAATAGAAAAGGGTTAAACCCATCTCTCTGGTTCTTGCCTGGCCCTTCCCCTGGGAGCTGCAGGGAGTGTGTCCTTTTTGGGTTCATGTGGCAGCAGAGCAGCTGGACAAAACCAGTGACCGTGAGAGTTCATAACTATTAGAGAAATATTCTAAAAGTGGATACATGTTATGTGTGAACTGAATGAAAGCTGCAGAAAACTTACCAAAGACATGGAACCCCAAAGTGCAGGTGTACGTAGCCCATTCGATGTCTCTCGTAGTTTCCACACTTACGACTTGCTTACAAGCAGAGGGAACCCCTGGAAAAAGCAAATCCAAGTCTGGTGACATCTAAGCCGAAGGCCCCCTCTCCTCTCCTGACAAGGCTGGCCCTTACAGCCCTGCCCCGCCAGCGACAGAGCCCTGTGGAGTGAGACCCTTTCCACTTCCCAGCCCCGTGGGAGCCATGCTCGCGGCTGCAACTGTGCCTGAGCCCCGGGGCCTCCATGGGCACCGCCTCCCATCTCTCTCTCTCTTTGGGTCTGTTTCCTGCAGTCTGGCTTCTCTTTCCTTTGACCATCCATGGGTACCTTGCCTTCAAATGCTCAGGGTCTCCCTCCCCTGCCCGCCCACAGAACCCTCGAACAGCTCAGCTCTGCCACCTGCTGTTCATGTCAGGCCCCCCCTCCCCGGCCCACCCCCTTCAGTCCTGAGTTAGGAGTGGAAGCTTACAGAAACCAGTCATATCCAGGTGATTTGATTGCTCCCCAAACGAGCTCTCACTCACAGAGTATGAAACCGTGTCCGAGAAGACTTTAGACCCATGGCCTGTTTCTGAAATCCATCCCCCTTCTTCTGCCCTGTGTCAGGCAGGACCTTGGAGAGGGCGGAGAGGGCAGAGCAGGCGCCACCTGGCACCTGCTATTCCCCTCTTTCCTCCACCTCCAGCAGCTCTACCTGTCCAGGCGCCTCAGCAAGTGGATGGCTGCCTCCCTACCTACCCACTGGCTCTTGATGCCTACAGCCTCGTATCTGAGCCCAGATTTCCTGTCTATAAAATGGGATAAGCCTGGAAGAGCTATGGATAATGACAGAAAATGTACGTAAACTTTCTGGTACTTTTTAGTATTGCACTTCTTAGTACCATCCAGCAGGCGGACACCAGGCCCTCCTCATGCCCCACAATCCCCTGTGCTCAGCCCAGAGCTGGGCACACGACAGGTGCTTGGCACACATGTGAGGAGCCCGTGCCCAGGAAGTACTGGTCTTATTACCCTCAGTGTTCTCAGGTCCTGCCTGGACACAGACACCACCAGGAGGGGTCCCAGGGGCTGCTGTCCCCCCAGGTAGGAGAGACTTCACTGTGTCTGCCTGCTTGGGATGACGCCTTCACAAGGGTCCCCACTCTCTCCTGCCCCAATTGCCCCCCTTGGGCCTTTCCCTCCAGGATTTGGCATTTTCCTTCTTGGAGTCCCTTGGACTTGGAGTCTTCTTGGATCCTCTTGTACCTTCTGCTCCGCAGGGGCCCATGTCAGCCCGAGCCCCCAAGGATCTCAGTGGCGGGAAGGATCTTAGCGGTGGCCCTGCCCAACTCCCCTGTTTTATAGAAAAGGAAACCGAGGCCTGGAGGTGACAGCATGTGCCGAGGCAGTAGGGGAAGTGGGGTTTGCAGGAGACCCCATTTTGATCTCAGAGTGAACGTTCTATGTGATCTGAACCCAGACAAGCCCTGGGGTGCTACTCACAGTAAAGGATTTCATAGTCTCCAGAATTTGACACGAGGAATTGGGAGTTCACAGACCAGTCCAGGTGAGTAATGAAGCTGGAATGACCCTGGGAGAGAAGAGCAGGATGCGTTTCACGCGCCTCGTAAATTCCCGGCACGAGGGACATGGGGTGACCACACACATCCCGAGAAAATGAGAAGAGCACCTACCGAGCACTTGCCGACACGCGTGTACTTCCTCCCGTTGTCGCTGACTCCATAGATGTAGATGCAGTTGTCATGGGAGCCGATGGCTAAGAAGGTCCCGTCTGCAGAAATATGCAGATGACATTTGTTTTAAAAATAAACACTTATCAACGACAAGGGGTAATGCTAGTGACATCACAGATTTAGAAAAATCAGCCAAATCGGTAACTTAACTCAAATCAGTAACTTAACTGCTTTTCAGGAAGTCCTATGCCACTTCCCAAGCTGTCTTTTGGAAATCCGCTCCTGCCCAGATCTCTCCCCTTATTAGCCCCATCCCTGCCACTCCCACAGGGAAGGCTCGAGATTCATTCCCTCAAGGATGCGGCCACATCGCTCCTCACTGAGCGCCAGGCTCTCTCAGACCTCTCCTGTGCTATTCTCCCTCCCACCTCACCTCTGCACACAGTGTCCTCCCTCCCACCCCCTGCCCTGCCTGGAAGGCCCCTTCTACCTCACCTCTGTGCACAGTGTCCCCCCTCCCACCCCCTGCCCTACCTGGAAGGCCCTTCCGGCCTCTCTTCCAATAGGCCATCAGTTACCATTTTCGCCTGGGTTTCTGGCCTCAGGAAAGCCTACGGAACGGGGCTTTGGTGCTTGTGTGGAAACACAGGGAAGGCGCTCAATGTAACATAAAAGCAGAGCCCGCCTTTGTAGCCGGCGGAGGAACTTGCCAAGTGTGAAGGCAAAGCAGGGAGATCCAGGATATACTGGGAAGGAAAGAAGGCCTGAGAGACTAAGCCAGAGGAGGTCAGACTTTCCTGAGGCCAGGAAGCAAAAGGAAGGAGATGGGAACCGTGTGAGGCGCAGAACTGGAACACAGAGTGGCGGGGTCTCCGCACACTGGTTCAGGGACTGCGATGCGTCCCTGCTCACACCGAGCACCAGTGCCTCCATCCGCAAAGCACAGCAATTCAGAGGATTCCCTGGACAGTGCTTGTAAAGGTCCTGGCGGTCACTGGCCATCATAAGTCATTTCCTCAGAGTTTCCTTCTCCTAAGGTAGGGAGTCCTACAGGAAACAGCATGGCCTGACACCATCAGGAAGTCGTGTTTCAGGAAGTCCTAGCCTGGGCCAGGTCAAAATAAGGGTGTTGGCAAGACCAAGTCGGCTTGTCCCATGTGGGAATCCTGGCGGGATGGGGCAACAAGCCAAGGACAGCGGAGGCCTGGAGAAGGAGACCGTCTGTGGCTGACGATTCTGGAGAAGGCCGGAGAGCTGCATGGGAAACCATCCACCCTTGGTTCCCGCAACTGACTGGGCCCTGACAATAATGATGATGATGGACACTAAAGGCTAACCATAATTATTATCAAATTATAACAGTCCACATTTATGTAATGTCCACTAGGTACCATCCTGTACTCACGTATTTCATCCTCATAAACCCTACAGACAGGTAGATATCATGCCCATTTTTCAGGAGAGGAAACTGAGGCACAAGTGGCAAAGTAACTTGCCCAAGGTCACACAGGTTTATGGGAGCTGGGATTCGAACCCAGGCAGTCTGACTCCAGAGCCTGGAGCATTTTGTTGCTGATTCTGCTGCCCCTGTGACACAGATTAAGGGTAAAGCCCCGCTGAAAGCCTGCCACATGATGTGTCGGCATGCTGGCTTGTACATTCTTAAGCCAAAGATCTCAAGAACTACCTTATCATCTGTTAACTCTCTCTCATAATGGAACCATTTATTATAATTCTGACTGCCCCAGCTCTAGGATTTCGAATATTCTAAGTACCTCCTGCAAGTGGGATCACACAATATTTGTCTTTTTGTGTCTGCCTTATTTCACTCAGCATAACGTCCTCAAGAGTCATCTGTGTTACAGCATGTGTTAAAATTTCCTTCTTTTTAAAGACTCAGTAATATTCTGTTGAATGGCTATACCATAATTTGCTTATCCATCCATCTACTGATGGACACTGGGGCTGCTTCCACAGTTAAGAATAATTATTATAGAATAATAATGCTATGAACATGGTGTACAGATGCCTCTTTGAGGCAAGGGTCACCTGGTTAATGAAGAAAAGCTCCGAAGCCCGAGAGCAGAGTTGCTGGTAAGGAGAGCTCTCTGGTCTCCAGGGAATGGCCATGAGTATAACTGACAAGAAACGCAAATATACTCCCCAAAGCACCCTGCTCATGTCAGCAGGAGCTGATAGATCTCTGAGGGCCTTCTAGGAAGAGAGGCTATAGACAAGGGCCTCTTGCACTTCACAGACGTTCAAAATCACAAGAAAATGATGAGAAACACATAAAACAAATAGAAGAATGCAGAATGTTGGCCAGAATTAATAATAAAATAGGATACTTAAAACATCAAGAATGAAAGGCAGTCTGAGCTGAGTAAGCACCTTCTCAACATCGATAAAAGGTTCCAAGGTGTCTGGGGGGCTTGTCTGCTTAGGGTGAGAAGTGTGAACTTTGCTCGGGCACAAGGAAAACACATCTGGAAGGGTGCTCCTTCTCTAATGAGACCTGTGGAGATTAAGAACACAGCTCCACCCCGAGGTAGAGACCACTGCAAATCAGCTTATATAATAGAGGATTCCTATAGAGCAGTAGCAGCTCAGTCTTGGCCAAGTATTTCCAAGGACAAAACTGCTATTTCCGAGAGTGTTCACATAGCTGGATCTCCTGCATATCACAGAAACATAGCACTTCCTAAAACACAAGCATCCAACGACAAGGCCTAGAAGCAAGGGCCTGCCCGGCAGCCATGAACCCTCCTGGCACCCACACCGTCAGGACTCAGCCGCCAAACCCCAGGGGCTTCCACTGGCCCATGGCGAGAAAACTGAGCAAATATATGTCAGTTCACAATGGCACCCAACCCACCAACAGCGACTGATCACTGTTAAGGGGTACAGAGAACAAATTCATTATCTTGGAAATTGGTAAATAAAGTAAAAGAAACCAGGCAGGGGCGCCTGGGTGGTGTAATCAGTGAAGCATCTAACCCTTGGTTTCAGCGGTTTCAGCGCAGGTTGTGACCTCAGGGTTGTGAGATCGAGCCCTGCATCAGGCTCCACGCTTAGCACAGTCTGCTTAAGACTGTCTCTTCCTCTCCCTCTCCCTCTGCCTTTCCCTGCTGCTTGCTCTCTTTCTCTCTCTCAGATAAATAAATCTTAAAAAAAAAAAAAAAGTCAGGCATTTATTTTGACTTTCCTTAATGAACGCTACCATGCTATTGGATAACAAAGTAGATGATTAGCAGTTTTTCTTTATAGAAATATGATACCTAATAAGTGAAGAAGAAAATCTAACATTGGCACACCACTCATTTGTAGTCCCTTGTGAATCTGGGCATTGGGCACCAACAGCTACTAATATAACAAAAAGTGAGAGAAGCAGATGTGAGTCTCTGGTGGCCGGAAGACAGCAATACACGCAGAACCTGAATGGGATCCAGCCTCTAGATGCCAACATCACATCAGAGCAAGTTCGGGGGACAGAGGAACATGTTAAAGGACACCACGGGGACACACTCAGCAAAATCTGGAGTGGAGAAAACACTACGGGAAAAATGAGCCTGTTCCTTCAACAAGTAAATGAACAGTGCACACAAGAGAGAGTGGGGGAGGGGGTGGGGGAGGGAGGAGAGAACAAGTACAAGGAACCATGGATTAAAAGGGACTTCAGAGACATATCGGACAATTAACACAGGACAGCCTTTTTTGAATCCCAATTTCAACTGTTAAAAAAAAGTCAAGTGAAAATTTGAATACTGACTATTCGAATACCTGATGATATTAAGAAGTTAATGCTACTTGGGCTGAGGAGGTGACAGTGACACTGTGGCCATATTAAAAATAAGCGGGCAGGGCTTCCAGCTGTGGCCCAGTGAGCCCAGTGAATCCTCTCCCCATAAAGCAATGAAAAAGATGTACAAAACTGACAAAAATAACCACTTCCACACTCTGGAAATTGATCAAAGACATAAATCCATCTGAGAAGTGCTTATACTTAAAAAGCTTCTGAGTTTGGGATGAGGACAGTAGGAGTCCCCGGTGCGCTCGCCTGGGGCTGCGCTCTCCCTTCCCACCGGCTCGGCTGGCTCAGAGGTTGCGGCCGGGCAGAGCCAGCTGTGGGCACCAGTGGCTTTGTTTCCGTGGTCAGGCGGCTCAATCCATACAAAGCCCTGGGCGACGCCTATGCCCACACAGCAGCGTTGTGGACAGAAGTGACGATCTCCAGGGCGGTTGACCAGGGAGGGCCCACGGCTCTAGCAGCCTGCAGTCACGGCGGAGGCTGGAGCGAGCCTATCCCTGGTGATGGGAGGCTGCGCACGTGTGCATGCATGGGGCAGGCAGGAGAGGACCCCAGCTACCCAGACGCCTGTGGCCACACTGAGGTTGCACGCGTGCCCAGGGAGGATGCCAAGGGGCCAGCAGCAGCAGAAGCTGGGCAGACCCCGAAACGGCCTGAACGCCGGCCGTGCCCTTCTACCCGCACACACGTCCGCCGGCACAGGATGCAAGCCTTCCTGGCTGGAGGTGTCTGAGCGCAACTCTGTCCCGTCCTCCATCCAAAATGCATGAAGCCAAACCGAGAGAGCCGAAAAGAGAAACTAACTGGTTCCACGGTACCAGTTGGAGATTTCAATCCTTCCCTCTCAGCAGCTGCTAGACCAGCCAGAGTAGCGGCAAGGACACAGATGACTCAAACAACACATCATCAGTCAGCTCTGAACACTGTCCACCAACTTGTCCCAGCCGACCAATCAAGAACACTGCACCCAAGAGTGTACGACGCACATTCTCCGCAAGCACACCTGGGACATCGGCCGGGATAGGCCACGTGCCAGGCTATAAAAACAAGTTTGGATGAAGTAAACGTGATTAAAGTCATACAAAATACATTCTAGGCCACAATGGAGGTAAGTTAAAGAACAAGGGGAGGAAATACGGGAAATCCCCCAAATAATCGGAAATTAAACAATACATATGTAAATAACCCATGGGCCAAAGAAGAAATCATTAAGGAAATTAGGAACTATTTTGAACAGAATGGAAATGAAAACACAATATATCAAAATTTATGGGATGTGACTGAAACAGTGCTCAAGGGGAATTTTTTTTTTTTTTTTGAGAGGGGGAGAGAAACAAGGGAGGGAGAGGGACAGAGGGAGAGGGAGAGAATCTCAAGCAGGCTCCATGCTATGGGGTAACCCCGATTTCATGACCTGAGCCAAGATCCAACAGCCAAGAGTTGGACGCTTAACCAACTGAGCCACCCAGACACCCCTCGAGGGGAAATTTATAGTTTTATACATCTCTACCAGAAAAGAGAGGTCTCCAATAAGTAACCTAAACTTCAAGAGCAAGCTAAATATTAATCAAGCAGGGGAAGGGAAAAAAATAAAGATCAGAAAAGAAAAAAAAGAAAAAGGAAAATCGATGAAAACAAAAATTGGTTCTTTGAAAAGATCAACAAAATTGACAAACCTTTAGCCAGACTGACCAAGAGGAAAAGAGAGGAGACAGAGTTTCCAGAATCAAGAATGAACGAGGAGACCTCACTGCTCACCTCAGAAAAATAGCAAATATTATGAATGATTTAATGCCAACCGAGTAGACAACTTAGCAGAAATGGACAACTTACCAAATTGACTCAAGAAGAATAAACACTCTGAGTAGATCTACAAAAACAAACTGCATTAGTAATTAAAAAACCTCCCACAAGGAAAGATGGCTCACTAAATTCACATGAATTCTACCAAATATGTAATGAAGAAATAATATCAATCCTTAAGAAACTCTTTCAGAAAATAAGCAAGGAAGGAACACCTCCCAACTTACTCTGCAACAGTACTGTCATAACTATGCCACACAAAACTATCACAGGAAAAGAGAGCTACAGATTGATATCCCTCAGGAGCAGGGACGCAAAAATCCTTAATATTAACAAATGGAATCCAGTGATATATAAAAAAGGATTGATACACCATGACCAAGTGGGATTTGTCCCAGGAATGCAAAGTTGGGTTAACATCTGAAAATTAATAGACCATATTAATAAAATGAAGGATAAAAAAAATCACTTAGGGGCGCCTGGGTGGCTCAGTCATTAAGCGTCTGCCTTTGGCTCAGGTCATGATCCCAGGGTCCTGGGATGGAGCCCCGCATCGGGCTCCCTGCTCAGCGGGAAGCCTGCTTCTCCCTCTCCCACTCCCCCTGCTCGTGTTCCTTCTCTCGCTGTGTCTCTTTCTGTCAAAAAAATACAGAAAATCTTTTTTAAAAAAATCACTTAATCATCTTAATAGATATATTTGACAAAAAAAAAAAGCATTTGACAAAATCCAACAGCCATTCATGATGAAAACCCTAAATAAATTAGGAATAGAAAGGACCTTCCTCATCACGCTAAAAGGGCACTAACATCATACTTAATGGTGTATGACTGAATGCTTTTCCTCCTAAGACTGTGAGCAAGGCAAGGATGCGTTCTTGCCACTTCTGTCCAACACTGTCCTGGAGGTTCTACCTAATGCAAGAGAGAAGAAATAATTAAAGGCACCCAGATTGGAAAAGAAGAAATAAAACAGTCTTTATTTGCAGATGACATGATCCTGTAGGAAGAAAATCCCAAGGATTTTACACACACACACACACGCACACAAACTACTAAGACTAATAAAAGAGTTTAGAAAGGTCATAAGATATAAGATCCATGTGCAAAAATTGATTTTATTTCTCTAGAGTAGCAACCAACATTCTGAAAATAAAGTTAAGATAATTCCATTGACAATGGCATAAAGAGAACTGACTTAGAAATAAACTTGACAAAGGAAGTGTGACTTGTGCACCAAAAACTACGAAACATTGCTGAGAAAAATGGCAGAAGACCTAAATAAATGGACAGATATTCTGTGTTCAAAGAGTAAAAGATTCAGCATGGCCAAGCCATCAAATCTCCCTGTATCGATCTACAAGTTCAACATTAAATCCCTATTAAAATCCTGGCAGGCTTTTTAAAATTAGAAATGGATAAGCTGGTCATAAAATTTATATACAAACGGTGAGGACCTAAAGTAGTCAAAACAGCTCTGAAAAGGAACCGCAAAGCTGGAGGAGTTAGACTCTTCATCTTTGAAACTCACTCTGAACTCCCAGTAATCCAGACTGCGTGGTACTGGCACAGGGATGGACATCTGGGTGAACGGGACAGAACTGAGAATCCAAAAATAAACATTTATATTTTACGGGTCAATTGGTTTGTGACAATAGTGTCAAGATTATCTGATAGGGAAAGGACTGTCTTTTGAACGAATGATGCTGGACAAGTGGATAATCTACATGCAGAACAAATCAAACCTCTACCCCTTGCAATACACGAGAATCACCTGGAGGTAAGGGCTAAAACAATCACCTTTCTTTTTCCTCTCTTTCTTTTTTTTTTTTTTTAAAGAGGGAGAAAGAAGCAGGGGAGGGGCAGAGGGAGAGAGAGAGAATCTCAAGTGGACTCCACGCTGAGCCTGGAGCCTGACGTGGGACTTGATCCCAAAACCCTGAGATCATGACCTGAGCCAAAACCAAGAGTCAGACCCTTAACCGACTGAGCCACCCAGGCGCCCCAACAATCGCCTTTCTGAAAGAAAGCAGAGGGGAAAACTTCATGACTTGCGTGCGACGCTAAATGCATGATCCGTCAAAGAAAAATCTGAGAAACTGGACTTCATCAAAATGGAAAGCTTTTGCTTCAAAAGAAGATGAAAAGATAAGCCACACCCTGGGAGAAAACATTTGCAAATCACATAGCTGGTAAAGAACTTACACACAAACTACAGAAAGCAGTCTTACAACTCAAGAGTAAGACGAACAACCTAACTAGAAAACAGGCAAAATACCCGAAAAGGTATTTCACCAAAGATACAGGAGTGATCGACAGGCACAGGCAAACATGCCCAGCATCTCTTATGGTTGCAGGGGAGGTGCACCACAGCGGGATACTACTCCACCACTACCAGAAGGGCCGTCATAAAAGAGGCAGGTAATAGCGGGTGTTGGTAGAAATGCAGAGAAAAACCAGAACCCTCACACATTGCTGGTGGGAACGCAAGACTGTGCAGCCTCTCTGGCAAGCAGATTGGCACCGTTTCATAAAATGTGAAACACAGCTTTACCAGGCAATCCATCAATCCTACTCATGTACCTAGGAGACAGGAAAACGAATGACCACAAAGAGACCTATAGGGAATGTTCCCAATGGCACTCTTTGTAATACCCAGAAACCAGGAACAACCCCCATGACCACTGACTGATGAACGGATAAACACAATGAGGTACATCCATAAAGTGGAATCCTATGTAGCAGTTAAAATGCATCAACTACGGATACATGCATAATAACCCAAATTAATCTAAAAAAACAGTATTCCAGGTAAGAGGTCACATGCAACAGGCTCTGTAGTATATGATTCCATTGATACGGAATGTCCAGAATAGGCAATTTATAGAACAGACAGCAGATCAGTGGTTGCCTAAGGCTGAGGGGTGGGAGTGGAGCTTTAATCGCTAAGGGGCAGGGAGGGAACTTTTGGGGGTGATGGAAAGGTTCTTGAATTGGTTTGTGATGATGGCTGTACAATGGCATGAATTCACTCAGAGTCACTGAGAGTCCATTTATAATGGGGAAAGTAGTGTATGGAAATCACTCCTAAATAAAGCTGTTAAAAAATAAAGAGGCCTCATCTTTTTAAGATCTGGACAGTAATATTAATGGATGAAGGGCTGAGTTCTGGGAACTGCTTCGGAAGGGCGGTGGCGGGGGAGGGGCTCTGGATGAGCCAGATCGGCTAAGCATCTGTATTTCTGCAGCTGGGTGATGAATACATGGGGATTCAGTATGCGAATCGGTCTCATTTTGTCTATGTTTGATGGTTAGACACAGTATAGTTTGGCTCTGCTCAGGAGGCTTAGTGAGATTTCTTCCTTAAAAGACATCTACACAGGATTTCATAACTGTCATAATTGTATGGCAAGTGGTTTGCAGCTCTCACCCACCCGGTGAGTAACGCATGACGGACAGCTGTTCGTTTCCATCTGTGTGAACGGTGACCAAGTCTTTTGTTTCCGTGTCAAACACAAACCACCTGTTGTGAACACGAGAAAAAGCACAGTAAGTTGTTTGGTGAGAAAATAAAGGGAGCCTAGTACACTTAACAGTAACTATTAAAAACTATTCCTCTCGGGGCTTAATAAATACTCTGTGTTGGCTTAACAAGAACGCTTATTCCCGGCTTTAAGGAAAAGTTCCTTCATACGAGCATACCCTAAAGAAAGCAGCAGCATGCTGGCTTCCCTTCGAAATGATTTGGTTCCCATGTGGTGACGGGGTCTTCAGTGTTTGAGTTTTGTCACTTACATGTCAAAGGACAGGAAGCCCTAAGGCTGGGCCCGTGGCCAGAGGAGGCCGCAAAGGCTGCCTGCACGGGCAGAGATCTGGCCCCAGAGCAGCGGGGTGGGTCCCAGGGGGTGAGCTGGGACAGCCCTGGGGTGTCTGGCCTGCTGAGAATGATGCTGGTGGCACCAGCCAGGGGAAAGCCAGGGTGGACAGAGAGGTGGGAGGGTGGCCTCAGGCCTGGTCTGGGCTCTGTGTCCTCGACTATAAAATGGGAATAAGGGCCAAGTCCACCGCAGAGGCCCAGGATTAAAGCAAACTCTAAGGGATACAGATGTGCTTCGTATCTGCCAGCAAGGACACGGTACTTGGTACGTGTACTCTCCGGCCTGTGTGTTCTCAGGTGGTGGCAGTAACAGGACTCCAGGGTTTTCAGGGATGAAAAGGCCTGTGGGTGCCCTGCTGTGGCAGCTTCAGACCCAGGGGACCCCAGACGGTGTACATTCCACGGACACAGCCAGTGAGCGCTGCTAGTTTCCCCACGGCCCACTTCATGGGACTGGCTGGCCCCTGAAATTTGGATTTGGCTTCTCAACTTGCATCTTCAACAACCATTTACCTTTAACATGCTATTGAACGCGAACAGAGGCCAGAACATAAGAAGCGGAGAGGCTGGGGCTGATTGGGCTATGCTCTGAAGCCCCGTGAATGGCCCCATCCAGAGCTAAGGCTGGTGCGAGGCCGAGAGATGTGGGAGGCATACGTGGAGGGAAGGACTAGGTTCCATGAGCCATCTCTTCCACCCACGGGACCTTGTCTGTGATGCCTGGCATGGTCCCCAGGCCCTGTCCTACTGTGCATAGTCAGCACGTGGGTCTGGTGATCACTGGCTGTCAGCCATTCAACAGAGCCTGCTGAGTCTGAAGCTTCCACTGTCCCCGGGAGAGTTACAAGGAAGGTGTGTGTGTGTGTGTGTGCGCGCACGCACGCACACGCGCACACACGGCAAAACATTTTCATGAAGAATTCTGTTGGGTATGAGGTGCCCAACTCTTAAGATACTGTGATCTGACTTATAAATGGTTCCTCTTTCCTTATACATAATCCACAGGCATCACAGCGGAGTCCAAATGGTTTGCTTTTCAGAGAGGAAGGATGGGAGGAAATCACCAAAAATATTTGAATTAAGCCGCAACGAGCATAAATGTACTATGACAAACAATATAAAAGTGCAATCAAAATGTACAAAAGAGTGATCACCAGAGCCACCAACACTGCGTGCCAGGCCACCCCGGAAAACACCTCACACGCCATCTCCTTCAGTCATCAGCACCCTGTGTCTAGGCAGATGATACCGTCACAGTTTAGGAAATGAAACACCTCAGGCTATCTAGCCAGCTTGGAGACACACAGCTGCCGAGGGGCGGAGTGGGGATTCGAGTGCAGGCCTACTGCCTGGCCTACTGGAGGCGCGCGGTAAATAAGCGTTAGCAGAATCTGAGCATGAGGCTCGGGATCCGGGCAGTTTCTAAAATTTCGAAAGGGCAGCAAGAAAAGCATTTTTAAATTCTCAGCACTTTGAAATGCTTTCTTGCCCGATTCCAAAGCTGAGGCTTCTCCCACAGCCTGCAGATCAGGGCTTGGGGAGCTCCACAAATCCCCCAAAACTGTAGGTAGGCGTGCGTGCGTGCGTGTGTGTGTGTATGCATGCCTGCATGCATGTGCATGTCTATGCCTGGGTGGGTTGGAGCGGCTTTTCTAGAAGGGTCTATATCTTTGTCAGATTTTCCCACAGTCCCGAATGTGAAGGACCGCTGTCTTCGTGTTAGTTTTGAGTTCTGGCTTAATTCTCCGTAAGTGGCTAGAAGCCAGGCGGGGCAGGAGGAGAGACCCCATGCCTGCCCCTGGGGAAACACAGACCTCAGTGCTGACACGGACTCACCTCCCAGTCAGTGTTCCAACTGCAACCACAGACCCTGAAGGATGAAAACCAGAAGACTGAGCTGGATCCTAAAACATTTTAAAGGAAGTGTAAATTGATGGCCAGACACAGTGCTACCGCAGAAAACACACAAGCACAGCTGTTCCAAAGGGGCTACGTGGTCCCATTTAAACCAACAAGGCTCTTTTCTCTCCAAGAGAGAAAAACGTTTTCCTACTCAGGCGAAGGTCACATGTCCGTCATACTAAATGGTGATCCCTTTAGAGGTTTTTCTCTTTCTGTCTTAATATCTTTTCATACCTACAGGAATCAGATGACAGACCAGCAAGTAAATGCTCTTCCTCCCAGTCTTGGGAGCCCCTTCAGTTGACCCCCATGCTGAATGGTCAGCCTGTCGAATGGTGTGCTTGATGCATATGGAAATAGGACCACTGTGCCCAATGCCAGTGGTAACACTGCGTGAGAACCCCCCGGGCACACGCAGCATCCTCGGCAGGCCTGGAAGGATCTCGAGACAAGTAAGGCACATTCAGGTTTGGATCTAATGTTCGTTACTAACGTGTGCATCGCTAACTCTGACACAAGGTGGAACGGGATGGATGACAGAGGGAAAAACAAGCCGTCAAATCACAGGAGAGGGAGAGTTAGAGGGAGCTTGATAGGGAGGCTGGGCGGAGGCTTCCTGGTGCCGAGACCCTTGGAATCAGGCCTTCCGGTCCAGGAAGGATCAGGGGTGGTAAAGATCAGAGCAGACACTCCACTCAGTATTTTCTTGGATCAGGTGTTACGGGGACAACAGTGTGATCAAAGAGGCCAGAGCGACCCAGAGTGGGGCATATTCGAGGAATGGCGGGTAGAGAGGGTGTTACAAGGTAGAATGTCCCGGTGGGACGGAAGGCATGTGGACGACACAAAGAATGTAGGCCGTGCCACCATGGTCAGGGCTGAGACCCCCGGGAAACAAGAACACGGTGACATGACTGGGGCACCTGGCCGGCTCAGGTGGCGGAGCGTGGGACTCGATCTCAGTGTTGTGAGTTCGAGCCCCATGTTGGGTATAGAGAGGACTTAAAACTAATAAAATCTTAAAAAAAAAAAAGTGTGACATGATTGAATCTGTGTTTTAGACAGAAGATCCCTTGGTGGAGCTGCTTAAGATGGACCAAAGTGAGAGGAGATTGGTGACAGGCAGACTGAGAAAGAAGTACCCATGGGAATGGAAATAGAGAGGCACTGAGACACTACTGGATAAACTAAAATAATAAGACATCAGAAACCTTAAGGTACTGATTCTGTTCTCGGCAATGCTTTCTTCAAGGTGGGAGCTGTGACTAAGCTCAGGGCTGCCGCTGAGACCCAGAGAGAAATCACCTTCACCTGAAGTTTACCACGTCATTAATTCACTCAGGCTCTTAACATTTGCCAGACAAAGACACTGAGGCACAGGGAGCTTCCTGTCCAAAGCCACATGGCCAGTGGGTTAAGGAGCAAGGACTTAACCACAGATTTTTCCAGTGCCTGGTTCTGAGCCCCTTTGCTTCTATTAGGCTGAGGGGTGACCAGTCAGAGGAGGGGGATGGAGCCTCTGGAATTGCTTTCAGGGGGGCTGCGCCGAGGAGCAGCAGGGGAGGCCACCCTCCCGGATGCCACTGCCCCTGCTGTGTCCCCCCATCTGTTCCTCCAAGCCCCCCAGGGGGACAGGTCCAACACAGGACACCACTTCCTTCAGCCCATCCTTCTGCCTGGCCGCACCCACTCTTCCCTCTGAGCAGCTCGGGCCTTGCCGCCTCAGTGCTCAGCTCTACCAACGACGGTCAGCTCTAGGCCCTTGGTGACCTCCTTGGAGGGTAAAGGGCAAGGGGGCTGAAATGCAGATCCGGCATGCTGGGAAGTGCCGGGACCTCTGTGGGGGCTGTGAGGAGTGGGAGCTACAGAGGGGCTGCCCCTGTCACGGGGCGGGACATGTCACCAAGGGCAGAGGCTACACACACAGGACGTACTGTACTTTAGACTCAGTGCAGTACATGCGGGGGAAGACCGTGGGTTGGGGAATCAGACTGAGCTGGGTATAAGCGCTGGTTCTGTCACTTGCTGACCTAGTGACCACGGCCAGCTGGCTGACTTGGCTAAGCCTCAGTTTCCAATCCAGTAACATGGCGCCTCGGGTGCTGCCAGGATTACGGCTCGTATGTGCCCAGCGCCCAGTACTAGTAACTACATCACTGCTGGCCCCCTGCCGGCAGGACAAGGACGTCCCAGCGCTCTAGGACATAATCGGAGTCCCTTCTGGGAGGATCACAGCGATGCCCACTGGAAGACTAAAGCCTTAGCGTCACGTTGGATGTGTAATTCTCATTTCAGAAGCGCGCTGTAAACGGTGCGCGGGCTCACGGCAGGGGCTGCTGAGCATGGAAGCCAGTGAAGGAACTCTGCGCTCAGGAGACCCCAAAACCAACTCCGCAAGGCTAGCTTGCTGTTGAAAACTTCACTAGCAAACTTCAGGATGACATGGATGGGACCACTTCAGGCCATGTTTAAAGCAATGCCGACCGAAGGAGGTAAACCGGGTGACGTTTACTTTGGGACAATTTTCTATCACTATCAGTTGCATGCAAAAACATAAACGAACGTGTTCCAGATGAACTTTTATAAGAAAAACGCCATGTAACGTGCATGTCTACCTCTATTATTTTGTCCCAGATGGGCCGGTGACCAACAGCGTCCCAGAGAGTGGCGTGCCTGTCATGCCCACAGGTCAAGAACTGAGGTTTTGAGGCGTGGATGGCCAGTCCCCAGAGCTCATCAGTGTGACCCTGCAAAGGACCAAGACAGATGAAGCTCTCTGAAACACTCCAGTCAACACTCGGGGAGTCTCGGGGGGTGGGGTGCCCAGGGCATCCGCATGCTTTCGACTGCCCTCCTCGGTTTCCCTTCCCGCCAACCTAAGCCATGACAGCAACTGAAACTCTGATGGCAAGGAAGGTTATGTTGGTATAAAACAAAGGATTCATCTCCTCTTTGTAATGCTTTCTGATATTCTGATATTGCATCAAAGTGCTTGGTGGGCCGGCTGGGCTGAAGCATACCTGAGTGATGGGTGTGAAGTCCCCTGACTGAGTGCCCTGCAGAACGAAGTTTCGAGTTGTGCCAATCAAGATCATGTTGCCCTTCCCCTCGGCCACTGTCCGGATTGGGCCAAACTGTTCTGGAATCTGCATTGAAAAGAAAGCATCAAAAATGTCCTTAAATATTAGCTCCACCATTCCAAATATGTGTTTCTATATCATGATGACAGCTCCTCTCTCCGTTGCCCCCCCCAATATGGAGAGATAGAAAGGTCCACATCCAGGACCCCACGTCTGACTTTTAAACTCTAAACACGTATGTACCTTAAAACAATCAGCAAGAGTAAGGTCGTTAAAAAAAAAAAAATGAAGTGTCTTTTTCTTGATAGGATTAAAAAATAAGAAATAACACTGGTTAGTTTACTCTTTTCTTCTTGTGGCTTTGGACAGCAGTAGCAGGTAAAATTTGGAAAGCCAAGAATAACAGGGCATAAGAAGAGTTCCTAAAATTTACTCTAACTTAAAAGGGTAGACTCTTTGGCAACTTCACATGATTTAGTTTTGAAATCCACTGTTCGTGTCGGTAAACATATGGAATTATCTAAATTTTAAGACAAAGAATTTCAAGATACGCCAGCCAAGAACAATTTGCTGTGATAAGATAAACAGAGGTTCGCGCACTTTATAAAGGAACAGACTGTAGCTAGACTCTGCTGGGGGACTCTGGGCACTCCAGCTCTAGGAAGGAAAGAAACTGCCTGCTTTCTACAAACTTTCTGGTCTGTTGGCACAGATTTAGGAAAAGGTGAAGATAATTCATGCTAAGGAAGAGGAAGGTATGGATGCTTAAAAAAAATGATGAGTATCTTCTATGAAACTGGATGATGCTTTGGAGCTTCTGTTGCCGTTATGATTTAACATGGGTTTTTATCTAAACTATTTTCAAAATGGTAAGCTGAAGATTTCAATGCTGGTCAAATCTTAGGATAAAGAATGGCATCACAATTAAAATCCCCATGAACAGGGAAGCGATTTCCAAACCTCACCCAGCGGCCTTCCTTTATTAAGAGCAATAACCAACAGAACCATATCTCATACTGCTAAAGCACTGGGCCACGCTGCCCTCCAAAAGAACGGGTTACAGGATGTAACGTGTTGTGTTGTGTTGTGTTATACACATCTGACTCAGAAGCTGGAGAAGTTCTATAATGTGACCACTCGCCGCTAGGGATGAAGACCCCACCAGCCATCACACTGATGCCCGCCTTGATGTCTGTCTGCTCCTAACTCCCCGGGGCCTGGGGGAGAGAGTTCAGTGAGTGTGTATGAGACAGATTAAACTTCTTGCCTGTGGTTTCTACTGGTGTGCAGGGTAATAAGGCAGTAAAACGGATACTAAAAGGAGACAGAGCTTTAGAGAATATGTTGGCACTCAGCCACGTACAAGATAAATACTCAGTAAATGTTAGTTCCAGGTGGTAATGTCCCTAAATTCACACCTGGAAATTAAAGTGGAAAAAGAATAAAGATTTTTTTTATTTAAAAGATTTTATTAATTGTTTTGGGGGGGGAAGCATGAGCAGGGGGAGGGGTGGGAAGCATGAGCAGGGGGGGGGGTGGGAAGCATGAGCAGGGGGAGGGGCGGGGGAGGGGGAGGGGGAGAGGGAGAGGGAGACGCAGACTCCCTGCTGGACGCAGAACTCAATCCTAGGACTCTGAGATCATGACCTGAGCCGAAGGCAGATGTTCGATGGACTGAGCCACCCAGGTGCCCCAAGAAGAAAGATTTGAATGAAAAATCAAAATGTGGATAATATTCCCTTGGAAAAGTGAGACTGTTCTCTTATAAAGATATTCTAAATGTGAAATGTTACAACCTAAAATTTTACAAACCAAATTCCATTTTAGTAGTTACACTTAAACCGCTTCCAATGATTTTAATAAAATGTTACCCTATTTAACAAAATTTTATCTAAACTATTTTCAAAACAGTAAGCTGAAGATTTCAAACTAACAAGGAAACTGGTTAGTGTAACAGTTTTAGGAGGTTCAAAATGAATTTTGAAAAAAAAAAAAGAATTGCGATAATGCGGTTTGCTTATCTTACCTCAGTTTTATGAAGTTTCTGATAGTTTCCATTCCAAGAAATGAGCTTGCGGTCCTTCCCTCCTCCCGACACCAGCGTACCATCCCTTAACATACAAAGTGCAAAAATGCCACCCTCGTGGGCCCCTTGAACAGCGTAGCTTATCCGATTTGTACCTAAACACACCAAGAAAACCATCCTCAGGATGTTATCAAAAGGCTCGCCTCTGTCCATCCCATTTCACTTTGGTTTTTAAAATGTGATCTTGTCGGTTACGACATCTCTGCAGGATGAATCTACAAAGGACACAACTTGTAGACGCTCACGCAGCAGCAGACAAGCATGGCCTGGGTTACTTTATGATTCAGGAGGACATGCTCACAGGAAGCTGTGGCTAGAGAGAGCATGGCGGGACTACACCCAGTGAAGAACAGGAGCTTGAGTTCACGACCTTGACAAGTGACTTCACTGCCCTACACCTTGGTTTCCCCTTTGTCGGTGACGGGGCTCCTGCTTATCCTGCAGGATCCTGCTAAGGGTGAAACGGATCGACGTGGGACGCACTGCCCCCACGGTAGTGGGGACACTAGAGAAGTCCTCACGTTACCCTGAAATCATATCTAGGGGTCTGTTTCCACCCTCACCCCCAACCCACACTCTCAGCCCTTTGAGGACAGGCATGGTGTGGTTTTCCTTTCCTCCTGCCATAAATGCTCATTGAACTTAACCGGATGGATTTTTCCTGAGTAATGACTCCTCTTTACCAGGCTGTGGGCTCCCTGACGGCAGGGCCTCGGGATCATCGCTGTGCTCGGTGGCTAGCACGCTGTCTCGCACGTAATTAGTTCTCAGTAACTATCTGCCAGAAGCCATGGGAACCAGGAAAGTTATTTAGGCGTTTTATAGCTAAATATATAGTCATTGACACCTTCACCGTTATAATTTGTTAATAGATCTCCTAATAAAGCTGTTCTCCCAAACTATTCTGGGCTTAAAGAGCCTGCTGCAGGGACAGAAAGTGAACAGTGCTTGGCTATTCTTCTTTTCCTCTGTTCTAGTTTTAAGGTTTCAAGTTACACAGGCACCCATCCATGTACGTACCTATAAAACTTGGGATTTAGTGTAATTATGTTCATAGACAATTCTTAGAGAAGTCACGTTTGACCGTGCATAATATTCGCCCCCAGGCTTTTGCTCTGGGGACAAGCCTGTGTTACCTTTTCCCCACACCAAGATGTTGCCGCTTGAATCTCCGGTAATGGTGTCACCGTTTTCAGAAAAAGTCACGCAGAGGACAAACTTTGGCTTTTCTTGCTTCTGCAGGATGTTGTAAATATATATTTGTATCAGTCAAGACATCCTCTTATTTGTATTCCTACCACCTAGGGGCATGGGGCTCCCAAGCTGCATATGCCTTTCATTTTTATCTACCGTTATATAACTTATGCCATGAGATTACCTTCTCTAAAATAGAGAAACTTCTGGTAATTATAAAGTTGCAGACAGTTGGAGCAGAGGAGGGTGTCGGAGGGGCTGTGGGGTGGGCTGTGTTATCAGGATTAGAGCCTCAGGAACAGGGTCCTGGCACCGGAATAAAGTGGTCCTCTAACTAGGCCTCGTGGGGGGGCAGTGGTACTAGGCCCCACAGGGAAGGAGGCGCTGTCCCTCATACTCACAAGGCCCGAGTGCCTTCTTGGTTGTTCTCTGCAAGGACCACACGTGGGAGGGGGCGCCTGGCCCCCAGGGCGACTGTCCCTACACTTCTTCTTGTGTTGGTCCATCTTTCCTTCTGGACATCACCAAGGCTACCCACAGAGACACAAGGGGCTCCGCAATTCTGTTAGGGATCCCCGGGAATACTCTTCATCATCACACCCCCAGATAGACTTCCTGATTTGCCACTTACAGCAAATTCTTAGACTGCAGTACGCCTCACAGCTCCTGTAGAAGCTAGCTGACCACACGCACCCCTCAGTGAAGAATAAAACAAATGTAATTTAACGTTACCTCGAATAATCCTTGCTTCTTAATAAGGGAGTTTCCTTCTAACGTCCAAAAGTAGAGATGTGATTTTCCACAGGTAACTATTATGTTAGTGTCCGTGGGGTGGAAATCCGCAGCAAACACGGCTTCGTTGGAACACTTTGAGCAAAACAGGAGAATCAAATGTCTCAAATCTCAGAAGACACTCAGAAAATCAATGACATCCGAACTACAAATAACTCATCCAGGTTAGGCCCTAAGCTTCTTGATTTTTCTTCCTCCTGAACTCACCTTCCATACACACGCAACTTATGTTTGCTGGGTGCCATAACCTCTCCTTGTCTGTCTGTCTCCCCTCCTGGTCCACAGCCCTGAGGACAGGGACCATGGCTCCTCTCTCTGTGTGTTGGGGGGGGGCAGCAGCACGCTATTGCTGAAGGGGTGGGTTAGGCGTGGGTGGAAACTTAAGAATCCAAGAATTTGCTCTCATCTCCCGTCACAGATTCCCAGCTGAGGCTGAACAACAGAATCACCTGACGTGTGTCACAATGTGGACGTCACGCCTCAGCCCCATCTAGGGACTGAAATCTTTGGGAGGGGCCCCAGAATCTGGATTTTATATAGCTCCATCGCTCCTGGCTGACTGGCTGGGATTCCCTCCTGGTTGAATTCCCAGGACTCTGCCGGTGGTTTGGTGACCAGGCTGGGGTTCCAGGGGTGGGGATCTGGCTCTCGGGTGCCACTGCACCACCGCCGACCCTGTTCTCTGGATTTCCAGCACCTGCACTTTGGTCAGATGAATCTGACCGTGATTGTTCCTTCTGCTTGAAATTCAGTTATACACCTTAAACCTGGGTAATAATTTGCCTCCTAGCAAGAACTTAAATACTCGGTCGGAATATTAGAAGGCAGGGCTATAGCATGTAAACAGGTGTTAGGAAACATGCCAGATTAGAGTACGGACCCTGCATCCCAGACATTCAAGGGAGAAAGATAAGGCAATCCAATGGCAACCCTAATGTTGGGGGAGGAAGGTGGTCTAAGGTTAATGGAGGACAGGGTGGGAAATCCGAAGTCAGTTCTGTAACAACCGGGATCCGTTCATGATTTTCATAGGAGGAAAATACAAGAAAGCTTAAGGAGAGTTCAGTGACCTATCGCACAGGATGGACCGGAGGCAGTCAAGGGAAGCCAAGCGCACCCCCAACAGGAAGAGTCCCACCGGGAAGGCTGGGATCCGGCAGGCCCCTCAGCTTCGGACAAGCCCCATGCTGGCCGCGCTGACCTCCCCCTCAGCTGCTCCTGACCTGTCTCCACGCCCCCATGCCCCCCCTGGCGGTGCAGGGAGCACACCGAGGGGACCACCCTGGCCCCTCGACCGCAGGAGCGCACATTCGTGGAATGAAATAAAGCAGCAGGGAACAGTGAGCAAGGGAGTGGCTTAGCAGGGGAGGGGCTGTAAAGGGAGGAAGAAGGAAACCTTACAGGTGTCCTGACGAGGGGAAGAGACCCTGCCAGACTTGGCACCGCACCCTGGGAGGGGAGCTGGGCGGGCTCGGGGTTCTTGGGTGCTGGTGTCAGGCCCGAGGGCCGCACTGGGCATGGGGAGCCTGTGGTCCACCGAGAGGTGGGACCGGGGCCTGGGAGCCAGCTGAAGGAGAAGGCTCCACACAGGGAAATTACAGCAGAGCCCCGCATCGGGCTTGGAGAGAGACCTTCACGTCGGCCAGCCGCTCTTCCTTCTGCCAGTCCCACACGGACAGCACATGGTCGTTGGAGTCGTCCACGGCACACAAGTTGCTTCCTCCATTCTGGGGGGAAAGAAAGGTATTCCCAGGAAGACTACATTTGAGAATAAAACAGGTTAAAAGTGATGAACAATGAACATTAACTTTACTTTTAATAAAGAGCCCATTTTGGTTAAAGAATATGTATGCACTGCTTATGAGACCTGTTTTCTTGGCCACTCAGGGAGAGCAGGCGAACGTGGGGCAAGGAAGGGACCGGAGCAGCAGAGAGGGGTCAGGGGTGACCCTGCCCCATTGGTTCTATTAAGATTAAGTCCAAAGGGGCTGCAGGGCCCCCTCCTGGAGGAGCCGGTGCCTGCAGGGTGCACAGCACAGTCTGTGACTAACGGGCAGGGTGACTGGGAGGCTGGGCAGGAGCAAAGACCCTGGGGCCGAGGCAGGTGGCGTTCTGATGTGAACACGTGCACTCATGTGTAAGTTTCTAGAACAGTGGTTTATAGGGTGGACTGTTGAATGGGCACACCCTGAGGAAGATCTGGGAGACCACGAGGCACCTCCGACTCCTGCTACTGGATAGGCAGCCCGTGTGCGGAGAGCAGAGACACACTGGAGCCGCCTACCAAGGGGCAGGTGAAATTCAAGGTCAGAGCGCGCAAAACTGCCTTGAAGAACATGCAGACAGCGCTGCAGGGCCTCTTCCCATCACGTGTGTGACCCTGAGGGGACACGCGTGACCTCTGAACGAGGGGACCTGGGGAGCAGGGTGGCGTCAGCCTGCAAATCCGCGCACGCGCCCGGGCAGCCAGCGAGCACGTTAACTTTCTCCCTCTTTAACCTTGAGCTGCTTCTCTCCTCCCTACGGACAAGGGCTCCCGTACCCATGGGGCTCGCACTTACAGATTTTGAGAAGGCGATACAGGTGATGGCTCGGTCAAAAAACCCGACCCCAATGACGTGCAGTGTATTCAGTGTCACGGAGTCCCAGATGCGCACGTGTGGGGGCAACTGCTGTTGAGAAGGAAATGCAGAGAGACAGTCACCGACTCTGACGGGCATATAGATTTATCTTTACCTTGAAGCTGCAAGACTACTTCAGTTCTGTCAAAACAAAAGGGCTTTTCCTGCTCAAAAATTTGAAGACTCTGCCTTTTGGCATCAAGGAACCATTCCCAATGGCTGCAGGACATCACGGCCCCCGTGGCCAGCTTAACTTCAGGGAGGGCCACCGGGTTTTACATTCTGAGTAGCCAATTCTTCATAACCGTGCCACAGGAACTGATGTTCTCCCTTGGGCATCCAGATGAGTCCGAATTTTAAAAACGAAGAATGACAAGGAAAGTGGAATCTCACACAAGGGCTCTTCTTGTAAAGTCTGTACAGTCGGACACCCCCAAATAGTATTGAGGGTTTAACATTCTTGGGCCTCAGAGGAGCAAAGCGAGCAATCTGTTACGCACAGATGAAATTCAGAATTGTTCCCATTAGCTCAAAACCCTCTCAGTTGTGTTCCAAGGTGAATGGTCCTAATTTTCCTCTCCCTCAATAGAAGAAAGCATCCTAGAACCATCAGCAGGTGCATCAGGAAAAGGACTAGCATCATACCAGGTGGACGGAGTGGGGTGAGTTTTAGCCTGGACTTGCCCTGAGTAGCTGTGTGTCTGCAGATGGTCAGATGGCCTCTCTGAGTCTCTCTGCACTTGAACTGAAGGACTGGCTCAGACAGACATCCCATCTTCCCTGGCTCGAAAGTTCTGATTCAATTTCAATGCTAGAAACTGAAATACCCTTTTAATCCACTAGAGGGAGGAACACATGGTTTGCTACTAATTTCAAAGACTAAAAGCCACTTAACATTAGAGGGCACGTTCTGCATGGAGCGCTGGGTGTTATAAGCAAACAATGAATCATGCAACACTACATCAAAAACTAATGATGTAATGTATGGTGATTAACATAACATAATAATAAAAAAATAATAATCCAAAAAAAAAAGATGAAGACCCTATTCCATTTATGGGTATCTACATAACTGTAAACTGATTTCCATCTTCCATCATCCCTGTTACTTCTTTTTAAGTATATAATTTTAACGGGAAATAGCATAGTTAATATTTAAAATTCGATGTTATTAAAATATTTTCTGAAAAATGGCAGCATTCATGTTTTTGGGAAGAAAACATGCTGGTAAAAATGGACATGCTCCGTGTAATGAGGTTTGCTTCATATGTGGTGCAAGAATAAGCTATACAATAGATATCAAAAAAGCTACGAGGAATTTTGGGTTAAGACATGGCAAGGACCACAGACTGCGGTCAAGAACCAACTGGAAGACAGTTTTGCGTTGTTCTCTGTTAGAGTCCACTACCTCCTTCTCTGATTCCTTAAAATTCAAGTTAAAGTCTTGCTGATGTGCTTATAAAACTTGTGCCCAAACTCTCCTGCTGCCTTTGAGGACTCTGGGGTGGCGTCAGGAATACAGGGTATTTCAGGCTAAGGGTCTAAAGTTTTGCTGAAGAGGCAAAATGCCCCCTATCCAAATGCTTATTATGACTTCTCCTTATTAAATGTACACTTAATATTTTAATGTTTTTCATGTGTGTAAGTATCTTGAGAATTGCTGAATTCTTAGGCAAGAACAATGCTATTTAAAAACTGGCTGAAATTAAGGCAAGTTCGAGGCATTTTTAAGGTCACTGTAAGAAAATCTGCAGTAAAATTTATTTAAAAAAAATTTTTTTTTGCGGGGCACCTGGGCGGCTCAGTCAGTTAAGTGTGTGCCTTTGGCTCAGGTCATGATCCCAGGATCCAGGGATCAAGTCCTGTGTCGGGCTCCCCGCTCAGCAGGGAGTCTGCTTCTCCCTCTGACCCTGCCCCTTCCCCTGTTCATGCTCGTCTCTCTAAGAAATGAAAAACAAAATTAAAAAAAAATTTTTTTTGCAACAAAATATTCGACTGAGGGCTTAAGAAGCTTTCAGATACTTTACCTAGGCAGGCTTATTCATCAGCGAAATGTTTCCAGAAGATGACATCGAATCAACAGTTCATTAAAAAATATGAAAAGATAATGTAACTCACTTTTCCATCCTTAGATGTGCCTGCGACTTGTCCCGTTGCTATTGTGATCCTGTCAGGGTGAACTGCTAGGCTAAAACAAAGGATATTTATAAAACAACCACTCTTTAAAGACAAGCTTTACTCTTCTCTTGGCCAAATATAATCTAGTCAAAAATTTAAATACGAGGACGATAGGGTGCCTGACTTCTCACGGACTCACGACAAACTCCCCAAGCACCCCAACAACCTTGGACAATTAGTGCCTATTTCACTCCAGCCTTTCTTGAGAATCTCCAAACTCAAGGAGAAAGCATCCTTCGCTTGGAAAATACCAAGTCTCCTACAACAGTCTTTATTACAGCAAAAATATCATCTTTTTCCAACAGGATTTTTATAACTGACCAGGGATCTAGGACAAATAGAAATAGGGAGAGTCACCGATTCAACCACCCATCCTTCCAAGACACATAAAATCCCTATCAAAAGCTACATGTGAATTATGAATGAATTAAAAAAGAGCCAAATCAGAAGCTATTAACATCTGTGCGAAGAAGGCCTCCAAACGGGGATCTATGGGAAGTGCTGGTTTGGGTGATATGGTTGGTTAAGATTATGTGTTAGATGGACAGAACCTAAACTAGTCTCTAGCATCTTAGAGAGCCAGGTAACCAGCCAACCACTAGCTGTGACAATGCAGAACATAAAGAAGAGCTTTTCCAAAAGATCCTGTTCTCTCTGATCTCTTCTCTCCTCTAGTTCTAGCTCAGTCCTGGCCCCTTTCCTGCGATGCTACCTGCATGAGGGTGAGGACTCACCACTTCACGTCGTCATTGTGGCCGGTGTAATGCCTCTGGAGCTGCTCCTCCACGTTGTACAGCACCACCACGGAGGCGATGAAGTACACCGTCTCCCCCGTCGGAAGCAGGTACAGGTTGTTCCGACAGTCGCGGCCCCGGTACCCATAGCTTTCCATGTGTCAAGAGAAACTTGATTTCCTTTAAGAGCTGACAATACATCAGCTTTATTCAACAGGGACAGACAACACAATTCCTTAAGACTCTTCCCATCATCTTCTCTTGGTTCAATAACATGAGATCATACTCAAGTGCCAAATACATGTGATTCAACCGGCAGGCAATCGAGTTGGAAATGGCCACTGAGTTGAGGTGAATACGTATTTTTAACGGATGGGGCTATGTTTTTAGAAATGACGTATTATATTTTTGAAAGCTGGGTTTTTCAGCTGGATCAAAAATGTAATTTATTATTTTATTTACTAAAGGTAACTGGAGCGGACATTTGTGAAATTACCAGAAAGTGAACTCTTTTGAATTGAGCCAATCAATCATAGACCTTGGGAGCAATAGCCAGGGCCAAATTTCTTTGTTGAACTGTTTGGATTTTCCGTGGATGCCCGTCTTCTTCACAACTAGTCTGCCTTTAAATGTTGCCAAGGGCAGCCCGGCTGGTTCGGTCGGTGGAGCGTGTGGCTCTCAGTTTTGGGGTTGTGAGTTCAAGCCCCACGTTGGGTGTAGAGATTACTTAAAAATAAGATCTTTAAAAATAAATAAATTTTGCCAAGCTGGTTTTCTGGAAGGCCCGCTACCCTCACCAGCTTGACTCTAGAATTAAAATCAGCTGGGAGCTGTATTTTGACCCCTCACAAGAATGCTGGACTATTTTGCTCCAAAATTTGTTTTCCCTTTCTTCTAGTTATCATACCACCTGCTCAGATCTACCTCAGTATCACGAGGTCTAGAGTGTATTTATTCTCCTTCCCGCTTGAGTGTTGGTCTGTCACAGGTGAGGGCCCGACTCTAGAATGGGGCCAGCTGGCTGCCAACTGCCTAGCCCATCCTGCCATCGTCCAACTTGGGGACTGACATCACCAGTACTCTGCGGCTTCACCAGAGGACTCACTCTGGTTCTAGAATCATGGCTGGGAAGTGAATCGAATCCCTATGACAGGCTGTGGCATTTGCAGCTCGTTTGGAATACAAAATAGATCTGAAAATGCAAGATGCCTACATTGTCTCAACTACCAAGCAGTGTGAGGTCAAAAGGACTATTCCAAAAAAAAAAAAAAAAACCCTCTGAACCCTAGACATTCCTTATATTTTATAGTATTTAAAAATAAATTTTAAGATGCTGACTTTATCAACCTCAGTTCTTGAGTCAATCTTATTTTTTACTGTCCTCTAGGAGCTAAATCTTTTATGTTTTCTTACATTATAAAAGTACTTGTAAAAGGTACAGACAACACTCCCACATACATATGGAAAGGGTAAAAAAACCTGCGATCCTCCTTGCCACAACCATCCTCACCTCCTTGGAGATAGTGACCTCCATTAAGATTTTGGTATGTATACTTTCAAACCCTGCAAACTATTCTGTGAGCAAAACATCCCCTGAACTTAGATGTGAAAAACTAATCTAACAAAAATCCCATTTATCTAAAGTAAATTCTACCATTTTACGTCTTGAAAATATGAATAGAGTAGGCTGAAAAAATGTTTTGAATAATGTTTTCCAGCTATGATCGAACCTAAAATGTAAACCATTATTGACTTAAAGAAGAACTGAATCACTTCGATTGCATGTGCCAAAATAGATGCACGTAAATGCTTAGGACATCTGAGTCTGAAAATGTAAAAAACATATACCCAAAGAATACGATATCATTTCAAACAGCAATTTTTCCGACTGAAATGACAACAGCATTGATTTAAACCAACTTCTTAGAATTTATATTTGGGGCTTGGCATCAAACTGGTACTCGATAAAAATTTGTTTGAGGGTGAAGAAAGGCTTTTTGTTCTTTGTCTTCAAATCGCATGGACTGGAAGGCTTGCTCTAAAGTTAAATAAATAGAATAAAATAAAGTAAAATAAGGGGGGGAAAAGGACAATTTAAAAAAAACCCCAACACTTCATTCACCCTTTTGCATAGGCTTTATTTCTTTGTGTTTCGGGTTTTGTTTTCTCCTTGGAGCTTGTTCACTTTTCCAAATCTCATGGTATGAAGGGCTCCAGCAGCTGCATCTCAAGAACGTTAGTCCTAGGGCTGACTCGGATTCTGTGGCTTAGATTGGGGAGGGGGGAGACGACTTTTCTTTCTCTTAAAGTAGCATTCATGTCGATTTTCCTTACACCTTCCCTGGACTCCCTTCATTTAGAACTGGGGTATTCCTGATGTTACTCCTTCAATTACTCTCCCAAGGCTGGCCAAGCCCCCACCTGGTTTGAGGGGGAGTGCCTGTCCTTCCTTCCAGGGTGTCTTATCACTCTTTGTCTGGGTGTGAGAACCTCCTGCCTGTAGAGTTGAGTTCAATTTCTGATGGTCTCATTTTCCTAAGTGTGTAAGTTCGGTGTTTTCTTGCCCTTTCCACTGTTTTCAGGTAAGCACGTAGAGCTCCTGGCTTTTCCATCTGTCCCACAGGGCTGTCTGAGTCTATGACAGCTACTGTTAAAAACAATCCGTTCTTTCAATTTCATTAGAATCCTAAACTCTACCCATTTGTGATTATTTTCAGTAAGCTTGCTTTTCTACTAGTTTTTAACTACATTTATTCTGTCAAAAGATTAAAATTCAGGACAGAAAGTGATGCATTTTCCCATGACTCTCTAAAAACAAAACAAAAACAAAAACAAAAACAATGTCCAGCATATGAATACTTTCTTTTCAGGAGAGTAAGGTACACATATTTGAGCAAGAACTATAATCTTTCTTTCAGGACTGAAAGAAAGTGTCCCCCACAATCAGGAGCCCTCCTCTGCTAGAACACTGGACTGAGCGCTAACATACGGCCCCTTTTGTTAAATTTTTTTAAGTGAGAATAGAATATTTTGGTTTTCTTAAAAAGCTTAAGAGAACTTGGGGCTCCTGGGTGGTTCAATCAGTTAAGCCTGCGACTCTTTGATTTTGGCTCAGGCCACGATCTCAGGGTCATGAGATCAAGCCCCACGTCAGGTTCCGTGCTCAGCACAGAGTCTGCTTGGGATTCTCTCCCTCTGCCCCTCCCCTACCCCTCTCTAAATAAATAAATAAATAAATGCTTAAGAGAACCTAAGTTTTATGAATTTCTACAGTTAAACTTTAAGCTCAGGGCATGAATCCACTTAAACCTTGTGACAGGTCCAGGCAGTGAATAAAGGATACACCCACTCCAGCTTCAGTCTCTTGGTTGGTAGTTCCACTTTTGCTTCCAAATTGTAAGAGTCCACTTGATCTTTGGGCATGTACATGGTAACAGGGCGTCCACGAAGAAACATTTTTACGTATCCTTCTTCTACAAAAAGAACAAAGAGATCAGTAAGACACCTCAGTGCCCAATGTAGCTGAAAACAAATGTTATCTTTTCTTTAGCCCTTTAACATAAAAGCGCAAACTTTACCCTTCATGTGATTTCTAATTAATGTGTTGGGGGAAAAGAACTAAAACATAACGTTAAACAGTTTAAAACAAAAGTTTTCACCCTGTTTATGTTTGACATGCTGCTTACGTAAGTACATGAAAGATATGAGAAACTGTAAAAGGCAGGGAAAAACTAGATTCCATTATTTTTCCACAAGAGACTTGGTGCTTATGTTTTCCTTAGCATCAGGAGGGGGGAAAATGCCACCTCAAAAAATTACAACTAACACAAGAAATCCACTAAGATTTTTTTATTGATTTCAATGTATATACAATTTCAGTATCAAAATTCATAAGATTTCTTTCAGTATTTAAATTGGTTTGTTATATCGCAATGTAAAAATATGCATCTTTTATGTTGGACACATTTTTCAAGTGTAAAGAACATAAAATCGGCAAAAGTACATGCTAGGGTGCACACAAGAAGGAAAAGGCTCAAGGAAAAGCTAGAAAGAAAATAAAAGAACAAAAGACCCATTAGAGAGAGGCATTGTGAAATAGAACCTTCTAGAACAAACATTTTTATAATAAAACAGCTTCTGGTGTTTCAAGAAATTATGGGGCAAGAGGAAAACCCAGTGATATGGGACAAGTGCAGTTTTAAAAAGAAATAAGTTGGGGTTTTCTGCTGGCTTTCAGGAGAAAATAAGAGCAGAGAAAATGTCTCGTGAGCTCCTGGTGAATTCTGTTAGAACTCACTGCATATCAAAGGCCCAGGCCTTTGCGGCCGTTAAACCGGGCAGCTGGAACCAGCCACAGCAGCACAGAACTCAACAGAAAAATCATCCGCAGGGGAAACAGGTGAGGAAGGCACGGAGTAATTACACCGCCAGAAGCACCATATTTACAGGTTAGTTATGTAAGTCTTGTTCCTAAGGATCTTCAAACAATGCCACATGCAATATAGCCTACAAATTAAGAGGCCGTCCCGGTTTTAGGTTACCGTGTGCGTGCATTTCCGGTCTCACATGCATGCGTGTGATGCACACTCCACTCTGCATAGTAAGTCTGACTTTTGAATAAGAGCCCCACATGCTCATCCTGCAGACAGATGGGTGTGCCAGGCGCTGAGTTCCGTGGACCCTCCCGTGAGGATGCTGCCACCAGGCTCTGTCCTCCCCAGATCCACCGGGACCGGCCCATCACAGGTCTGGCACCCCAGGCTCTCTTACTGCTCCCCTGGGGCATTTTACATTCTGCTGCCAAACCCATCAAGGCCCAAAGTGGACTTCACCAGTCCTTTCTCCACACAAAATCCTTTGCCCACTGTCTTACCTGCTGGATCCAAACGTCCAGCGCCCTGCTGGCTCTCCGCTACGTAAGCTCCCTGGCCGCGAGCACCCGGCCCGCAGCCGTCTGTCTGGCCAAATGGGTCTCTAGCACCCTGCTCTGGGCCTCTGCCCTTGCTCCCGTCCTCCCCTGGAACCTCGTCCCTTCCTTAATCCCTCCCCCAAATCTGAGCTCATCGGACCGTGTGGCCGCCACACCTGTAGGACCCAGGAGCCCCCGGCAGACGACAGAAGGGAAAAGGAAGCAGGCACGCGCGAGCATGGAGCTAGGGGACACGCGGTGGCATCTGTTCTCTTTGTACGAGAGGAGGCACAGGACATGGATGGGTATAGAGGTTACAATGCCATCTCCGCAACACGACAGAGCCCTCCGCGGTGGCTGTAATAATCAGTGTGCGTGAATACTGAGTCTATTAGAGTGGGTGCTGGTTAAGTCCTCACAAGGGAGGCTTGCTTAGCACAATTCTAAATCACTAACTGAGGCAAAAAAGCCCCGGATCTTGCCTTGGCACTGTTTTGCACTGATAAATCAGAATTCTACATTTAAAATCAAAACGTGGGGCATCAGGGTGGCACAGTCGGTGAAGCGTCTGACTCTTGGTTTTGGCTCCAGGTCGTGATCTCAGGGTCGTGGGATCGAGCCCTGTGTTGGGCTCTGAGCTCAGCGTGGAGCCTGCTGGAGATTCTCTCCCTCTCTCCTCCCCCCGCTCTCGAAAATAAATCAACCTTAAAAAAAATAAAATCAAAATGCAGCAAGGGAAAGCAACGGTATTTTCCAGGCATGTTAGGACAATAGCTCACAGCTGCCAACCCAAAGGCGCGGACGGAGAGGCCAGCAGCGGTGCAAGATACCAGGTCAAGCAGTGGGGCATTCAGGGCTGCCCTATAGCTCTCTTAAGGTTTTTACAGATTTTTCAAAGTTCCTGCAGTCAGCCAATAATGAAGCCAGATCGAATGTGTAAGCTACTTATTAAAACCCATCCAAGTAAATGCGCAGGAATGCTTTTAACTTAAAGTAAGTCGGAGTGGCTCGTGTGCCCAAAACATTTTCATACGAGGAGATTACCTGCTTGCCTGTATGAAAAAAGTTTCTGCAGCCTGGATAGCAGTTTTGCTCAGAGAGCTATGAGGTTTCAGAAATGCCGCCTACCTTTGCAGTGTGTCACCCGGCGTTTCCCTTGTGATTTCGGAGACAGGGACAGAAGCGCTAGATAAAGAGATGGCAAGAACTGCAAGAGGGACCGGCCTGCCCGCTCGCTGGGGGGAGCAGCTCTCGCTGCGGGGGCAGCTAGCTCTCAGTCGGAGCGGCCGCCCCGCCCCCGGCAGGAGAACCTGCCCTCTGCGCAGGGGTTCGGACCAGGGCGCTCAACGCCTGGCTCTGCATGCTTTTGGGGCAACTACATTTTCAGTGCATGATCTCATGCTTCCTGAAAATGAAATGAATACTAAAGCACGTGCTGATAAATACAGAACGCTGGCTTTTATAGAGGTTTTGATTCTGAATCGAAGGGGAAAAAACTGGAAAAGTTATAATTAGATGATTTTACTTAACTGATGCCATACCTGTCAATGATTTTGCATTTTTCAAATGTGCTTTTCAATCAGGTTAATAACCTAAAAATAGCATCTACCTTATTATAAAATGTGTTAAGAAAAGGTATATGGAAAGGTACATATGAACTATTAGTTTGCAGTTTAGGAAATCAAAGGCAGAAAGAGAGAGAGAAAAAAGCTACTTTTAGACAAAGTTATAACTTAACGCATCAGAAAGCTTCCCTTTCGGAGAGATGCAGATGTTGAGCCGGAAGCCCCACGGGTCAGGGAAGAATAACAAAGGCAACACAGTGTCTTCACTTAGAAGTTCTGCTTCTGCTTATGTGGTGGCATTTTACTCTTCCTCCTTGTTGGCGCATCTTAACTCAGGTTTAAGGGCGTAAATAAAGGGTCCAGTCTCTGTGACCACTGTATGGCCAGTCTCTGCGGTCTGAGCCTCGGAGCCCGGGCACAGGCTCCTGGCACTCAACCTGCCAGCCCCACCCATGCGGACACCATAGGTGACAAGCTACTTATTTGTCCCTTGAGTCCTGAGGGGGGTGAGGGGCACCCGCACAAAGATGAAATCAGGCTTACCTGCGCTGAAGACAGGCTCCTTGGGTTTGCTGTGGAGATGAAAGAGAGACAGACTTAAAGGGAGGCTTGGGGGTGGGGGGCAGGGGTTAGCCTCGTTCACGTGGAGGCCGGTCACCCTGATGCAGCACCGGTGATACTCGTTAATGAGAAAAACAAAACCAGGCAACGGCAAGAAGGAACACGTATAAACGAGAATGTCTAAAAGCGGGTGCAAGAGATTGTAATCCCAGCTTTACCACCCCAACCAAGCTTTTTACCAGAGCAAGTGAGGGTCTAGGGAGAAAAACGTGCTTCACCAAGATGGGAATGGCCTCATCTAAATGTGTAAAGGTCTGCTTCTTCCCCATGCTCTTCTGATAGATTATTTAAAGAATTTATTTAAAGCCAGCAAATTCCTGACACAGGGTTTTCTGCGTAAGGACCCTTAGAGCCCAGCTCCTAGCAAGGCGGCTACTGTAAGAAGAAAAAGGAATATCGGGGGTGCAGCGATTTCATCAGTGCTGTGGGGACCCCACTGCAGATTTCGGCCAGGCTGAGACCACCCCCTGACTGTGCCTGGGAAACCAAACCCCCAAAGCATTCAAGGTCATCCCTAGGGGTAGGCTTCCAGGGGATGAGCTCGCCCGAGGAAGCCCCTGGGCAGGAGTGCCTGCTACCTCCCACCACAGGCACCTGCAGGGAGAGGTTACCACCTGCCTGCCAGAGCAGGGAAGGGGCTCTCGGGGCAGGCCAACAGGTGTGTCCTGCTCAAACACAGGGTCAGTGCTTGATCCCAAGTCTGCGAGACTCCAGGGTCCGCACCGTCTTCCCCTATACCACCCCGCTTCCTGGATGACCTCCCCGCTTTCAGACTCGGAACAAGACAGACTACATAAATGAAAGCCACCCCTGAGAGAGCTTACGGAAGCACACAGGTTTGTGTGTGCATGCATATTTTTTAAAACGTACCTGAGCAGATATAGTCCTAATATGACTTTTCCCCTCCATTTCTCTTGAAAAACATTAAGAAACACCACTAGTAAGAATTAGCCGTAACCTGGGGTCGCCTGTGAACCTCAGTCAGTTGGGCGACCAACGCTTGATTTCAGCTCAGGTCATGATCTTGGGGTTGTGGGATGGAGCCCCAAGTCAGGCTCCACGCTCAGCACGGAGTCTGCTTGAGATTCTCCCTCTCCCTCTGCTCCTCTCTCCACCCTTTCTCTCTCTCAAATAAATAAAATCTTGAAAAGAAAAAAAATTAGCTGTAAACACACAATATGATAAATAATATTATCAATGTCCTTCATTCCCAGATAGTTTCATGCAATGCCACGGGTTGCGGGGGGGGCTCTGGACGGATGCTTTAGAAGTGCTTTGCGCTCTGCTCAAATGTGTTTTAAATAGTTGGACCTGTTGCATGACTCTAACCTTTGGTCACTGAAAACTACTCTGAAAGCATGGCACAAGCTTCAATGTGACAGTCCAAGTCTTAACCGGCCTCTAAGGCCGTCCTGACAATACTCTTTTTCTGTCCGTGTCTCCCGTCACTGTCCCCTGGTCACTGAGTTAGCTGCCCCGTCCCTGGTGGCCCTCGTTCGTGCCCAGAGCTCCTGTGTCAGCGTCTGCCCGAGCTTCCCCTCCTCCTGGACACAGGTCCCACGGCCCCAGTTGTCTGTGCTTTGAGCCGCTTCCCAGAGAGGCCTCTCGGCCGCTCTGTTCTGCACCCTCCGCCGGCCCTGCCCCCGACCCTCCCCACGCCCCAGCCAGCAGTGTATCTCCCCATGGCACCGCTGAGCCAAGTCCTTCCACGCTGTGTCCCCCTGCCGCAGGTAGGCGCCTACAGAGGGCGGGGACCTCTGCTCTGCTCCCTGCCGGGCTCCCTGCCGGGCTCCTGGTGAGGCCGGGGTGTGGGGGGGTCCCCTCGGCTCTCCCCGCGGGGTCCTCAACTTCACCATGCACTGCACCTCCAGGGCTGTGGGCTCTCCCGTCCCTCCTGCAGGGGTGGTCGGCTCCTGCCACGCCCGTGCCTCACAGAAGATGTCCTTCTGCACGCCTGACCTGCTCCTGATCTGTCATGGGCTCACTGCAAGTCCACAGAAAGGCAGGAGTGTGTGAGTGTGTGTGTGGAGATCCCCCTGTGCCGGGGGCTCCCAAGACTTCCAAATGACCATGCCAGTCCACACTCAGCTTAACTATTCTGTGAGCTTTCGGCTGCTTTCTTCCAATGTGCATCCAGGAAGGCCCCTCACCTCCTGCCGCTCTGCCTGAGATGAACACAGCCGTGGGCCTGTCTCTCCCAAGACAGGCTTGTCACTTTGTGGATTTTAGCTCAGCATTATTACTCTGTGACCTCAGCTGCAGGGTGGGTTTAAAATAGCCATGCTTTTGCAGATCGCCGGTTTGTGCTCCCTGTCGGAGCAGGAGCGACATTCCTGTGATCGTCTGCGTCGAAGCACGAATCTTACCTCTGACTTTCTCACATATTGTTAGATTCACAGGCAGGGTGAGGACACGTGGGGTTAAAGCTGAAACGCAAGACTGCAGAGCAAGCCTACTGGTTACGGGAACATAATGACAGGGAATCAGAAGACACGAAAGCCCATTTTTCCATCATGACTTTGCTCACAGAAGTAGGGAGACATAAAGCCACGAACACAGGAATAAGCCTCCAGAAACTTTCCTGGAGACTGAAAAGAGCAATTACGAACTATGTTCTTCTCAGAATGAGAGATCCGTAGGGCAGTTTGAATTCCAAATGCAGGAAGGCCTGTGGACTTTTGAGGCTGAGCTTATAACATTAGAGGAACAATCAAAGATCTCTATTAAAACACTAGAAAGGAGGGCGCCTAGGTGGCTCAGTCGGTTAAGTGTCTGCCTCTGGCTCAGGTCACGATCTCAGGGTCCTGGGATCGAGCCCCACATCGGGCTCCCTGCTCAGGGTGAAGCCTGCTTCTTCCTCTTCCTCTGCTCCCCCCTCCCAGCTCGTGCTCTCTCTCTAATAAGTGTTTATCAAAAAATAAATAAATAAATAAAACACTAGAAACGGCAGTGTGAGTATTGACAAGCGAAGGTCACACAGAGAGGCACCAGGTAGCACCAGACTGCTCATAGTTCTTAAATTTTGCTCTGAACTAGGCAACACGTTTTGGGTCTATTATATTTAGAAAGGATACTATTGCTGTGTTTCATTATTTTAGAAAGCTACATTTTTATAGAAAAATATACTCTACTTGTGAACCCGTTATTCCTATCTGTGCACCAGCACCCTTCCTAAACAGCACCAGAGTGCCAGGGGAGAGGGAGTCCCACTCCTGTGTGCAAGTCTTGTGAGTACAAACCCATGAAGCGACAGTGAATCTTCCCAACTAGTAACAGAGGGGCAAACCCCAGAAGGTGCAGTGAGAACAGTGATCCAAGATTAAAGACGCTGTGGCTGCTGCATGGGTGTGAGCTCACAGCTCAGAGCAGGAGCTTTTCCTTGGCTCAACTGTTTGGTTTTCTCCAGCTGCTGGTCTGGCAAAGGCTCTTGGCTGCCTCACATCCTCCGTGAGACCCCAGGTACTGCTTATAGCTTCTAAGAGTCCCCGAGATAGTCAAAGCTATCAAGGATAGACCATGCTGTGGTCTCCAGTCAAAGTCTATTCATGGGAGCGGCACGCTGAACACCTGTCCTTTCCAAAACTCGCCATCGACACATTGAAAGTGGACCCTTGGAACCTGATGCTGTTGCCTGGGCTGCAAGTTCGCTTGGTGTGGGAGGAGACTGCCTGTCCAGTGTTGTGTGATTGGTCTCTGATGACCTGTTCCTTCGTGTGAGCTAAGTGGGGAAATGTGAGTGTGGCTCCAGAGGGGAGGCTGATGCAGATGTCCCCCACCCTCCCTTGAAGCCCACGAGAGACGTAAGCCCTGCGGAGAGAAAGGATTTCCGCTCTGCCGGGCAGACCCTCACTTCTTGGCTATTCCGCACCAGGCAGTGGCCCATCCCTCCAAAATGAACAGTGTTGCAGTCGGCTATGGCTTTTACTGCTCTGTTTTGGCAGGAAGATTTGCTGAAAGAGTTTGGCTGTATGTTTCCTTGAGCGGTTGGCTCAGACTATCTCAGGGACTCTTAGAAGCTATAGGCAGTACCTGGGGCCTCAAGGAGGATGCGAGGCAGCCGAGAGCCTTCGCCAGACCAGTAGCTGGAGAAAACCAAACAGCTGAGCCAAGGAAAAGCTCCTGCTCTGAGCCGTGAGCTCACACCCATGCAGCAGCCACAACCACCCGAGTCCAAGTCGTGCATTACCCACACTCCGATAATGTTCACTGTGGACTCTGGGCACAGGGCCTGTCTCCTAGTGGTTGTCTGTCTTTTCATCTGCTAACACTCACCTTGCCCCCACGGTAGGCTGGGTGTGTATAAGGAGGGGAGACGGGTGGGGAACTTGCTCAGACTCCGATTCAACCCATATTCACCGTGCTCCTCCTCTGCGGTGGGATCTGCACTCAGCACTTCCGTATCTGTTACCTAATTTGCCCCACGTGCCGAAAGAGAGCTCAGGGGCCCAGGTCCTGCACACTGCAGGTCTGACACATGAGTGCTGTGTGTGACAGGGACCCCGGGGTGACCAGGATTAGAGCAGAGCCAACAGGCATCAACTGCTGTTTGAGGAGAGATACTTGCTTCTGAAAATGATTACTAAGGCTCGATCAAGGAGAAGACCATTCCAAAGTCAAACGTGTTGTTTCCCTGAAATTTATTTGCCTATAAAAACTGTCGTTCTTGGCACACATACCACGAGTCCTTTTGAAAAGGACCCCATGTGAAATAACATTTCCACTGGAAATCAAAATACTTTACCGTGTAAGTAATGATTCTCCATATAAATGCCCTTAAGCGGCTTTCTACTAGAAAGAGGGTCATTTAGGAACCATCTAAAAGATTTTAGATGTCACTGGAGACCTCCCTGGGGACAAAGACTGCTTCATAGACATTTCCAACCAGTACTTCCAGCTTGATGCGGCAGAATGAGCCCAGATTTTGAAGTCAGCTGGATCTGCATTCAGGTCG